AAATTTAATAGCCTTTATTTAAGCATTGAATCATTATTTTTTGAAAGATGTAACGTTAGTCTCATAACTGCGACGGTGTGTGCAAACAAATTGAGTTAGCGTAAATTTGATTTTCGCTTATGACGTTGCACTTGTACGGCGTTAAACGTTTGTGACGTCAGAATAAAACGCATACGTTAACCTTTTGACCCCCCTTCCGTGTTATGGTGTTTTGAACGCCGTAGGTTTCCACACACTTTATAAGCACGATACTTGTGGAATGTAGATATTGCTTAGGAAACTCTAGAAGTTTTCAATTGATATTGTATTGATAATCAGAATTAGAATCATGAACACATCTGTCATACAGAATCCTGCAGACAAATGGCGGTAAAATCTTTGAACTCATGGGGAGAAGAAATTATTGTGGATTTCTTAAAGTGTACAAGTCCTTGGAGATGTCACTCACAAGCAATTGTCCAAATGAAAGGTGAAATATTCTATGCGAGCTAAATTATTTGTTGAGAATTTCCGTCCATGATAAGGAATGTCGATAAATCAGGAAACCCCTACCCATGCACCAATTTAACGATTTGACAGTCTTAATACATAAAAACTAATAATGAAGCCTTAATAAGGATCTCTCAGATTTTTAATCAAAATACTTGTAGATTAATTTTACATAATTTTTTGACCATGGGTTTCAGTAGATATTCCATTGAGCTTTAGTTTTTCAAAAGACATTTAAAGCATTAGTTTTCAATAGACATGCCATAAAGCATTATCAGTAGACATAAGGTATTTATTTTCATTAGACATAAACTCTTTGATCAAAATTACTGATCGTTGTCTTCAAATGTTTAAATGGTCTCTAAATAGGAAATCTGAGAAGCACACTAAAGAATCAAAATTTTCTGAGTATAAAGCACAAATAATGAAAATACTATAAATAGTACGCTTTAATGTTGATCATAGATTAAAAAGGTGGGTGATCCCATCAGAAACCCAAAGAAAGAAAGCGTTACTATTGAAAGAAAAGATACTGATTGTCACGTAAACAAACCTAAGTTAATGTTTGTCTTAAGCTTGTTTAGACTCATGGCAAAGACACTTTAGACGTGTTATACACCACATCTGTGAAGTTTTCATTTCATTCATTAAATCGGGAATCTGTTTCTATAATATATGTATATGCCTTCACCATCATCATCACCAGATCGGTCGAGGGCTTAAGCATCTTATTTATGAAAAGAGGGTGGATTCCTAATTTTTAGTTAGTTCTGTCCAAATTCAGATATATACATCATTTTCCTCAGTCTGTATCTTTAAACATTAGCCTAACTTTTATATATGTGTATAAAGTAACAGTTACTTAAAGATAGTAAATTAAAAGTTTGGAATTTTGGTTTAACGGATCTTGCCGGATTTATCATTAGTAGTTATATGCCCTTGCATTTTACAAAACAGCATTCAACATTAGTACATTTCATCGTTAAACCAGAGATAATTGCTATATATCAACATATCAATGTAATAATTATAATTATTATATTATCAATACGTGATGTATAAGTCTTCTTTGTAACAGAGGAATAAAGTAATTAAAAATCAGAGATTCATTCCTTGCCCTCTTCCAAAAAAGAAGGTGCTTAATCCTATGGACACTTTGTGTTCATTGGCCAGAGTTTTGCAGCTTCACATTTTATTAATTCAAGAAAGAGTGCATATCATAATGTGAAACAAAAAATAAAATAGTTTGAAAAAGTGATAATATCAGTAACAGACAATTTAAGTCACTTTTCTGATATGCACACGAAGAGAGAGAGAGAGAGAGAGAGAGATTCTGTGATGTTTCACTTGCAAAAAGAGGTGAGGTCCTCACTGTTACTCTTCTTAAAGAACATAAATGTATAACATTAGTAAATGAGCTCAATGCCTCCTTTCAGATACTTAAAATTGAAAACAATCTTTTCAACAAGCGATTATTGGATCTGACAGCAAGAATCTTGAATATCTGGTTTATGGTTTTTATCATAAAATTCCTGTTGTAACTTATGTAGCCACTTATTACTGCACTTGTAAAATTGGTAGATGTTTCATAAAAACAGAGTCTTAATGAGAAAATTGCATTCCCAGACAATCAGCTCAATTGCAAACAAAACAAATCAACTCTTAAAATAAATATAATGTTTAAGGTCAGTTGGCACGCAATGAATGAAGATTATTGATGTTATTTTCCATCTGAAAATATGATTTATATCTTACCTTATTTCTCAAAACTATGTAAGAGATAAACTGAAATTTTAATCATATAAAGATTTTCTGGCTTCAAATCAATTTAAATAATTATCACAGAGATAAAAATGCCACACATATTTTAACATATACTTGATTTGTAGATGTAAGAAATCCTAGAATAGACAGGTAGCAGTGTAGAAGCAGGTAACTTGTCCTACGTGTTTCAGGGCGTTTTGATTGATTGATTGAGTTTAGCGCCGAGTCGGCAATCTTTCAGCCATATTTCGGCGGAAAAAATGTCCAGAACAAACATGAATTAAAGGACATCTTAACAAAATTTCTTCTGTAGATGAGGTTTAATTTGATTCTCTGATCATAACCTACAGTGGGAAAAATATTTGAAAATTTGTGAAAATTTGTGTATGGTTACATATCAATGATTCCAGATTTTAATTTCTTATGATATGGGAGTTTTAAGGGGGATACTCTCTCATCCTTCCGATAATGGGATAAAATAGCATTAACATAGTCTTAGTTGCAAAACAATAGTGTGTTTAGCTAAACTTCTCTGGTATAAATATATTTTATTCGGTATCTATGAATCAGGTAAAAGTACCTTTCGTATATCTTATTTCATACCACAGAGACAAATTTTGACCATTTATTTAGAAATTTATCTAGAAGTCATTTGTGACTAGATGAGGTACTTCAAAACATTCTTGTAACAAATTGCAAGCTCAAAAGGCTATTGGAAAAATACAGATTGGAAGCAGAACAAACACGAACATCTAAAAACATCAGACGTAGGATCAAGTGCCATGAAGGAGTAAGCATCTTCTGTCGTATGGTCACACCTGCCATGTGATCCTTGTCTTGATCAGGCAAACCAAAAAATCCGTTGACATTTCAGTGTGAAAATAATTGCTTAACAATTTGTAAGAAAAAGTTCAGTCAACATTAGACCTAAAGACAGGTTGTATTATTTAGAGGACAACGTATCAACCATAGAATTTGTGCAATTTGGCTCTAAACAAGACTGTTGATTTCATTCTATCATCGACTTATTTGTCAATAGCTTGTCTCGTTTAGAAATTTTTTGCATTAGAACATATTCTTGCGCATTGAGTCAACTGGGAGACAAAAACTCCATATGCAGGTAAAAATGGTATTTTGCTACATAAATGAGGGATGGTGACAATAAAAAAAATTCAAGTAATTAGGTTTATCATAAATTATTGCTGTTATGTTAACTTTAATTTCTTTTACTAGTAAAATATCCAAAATGACAATAGATGTGGCAGACTGGGGTGTTTTTCATTTTTAGATCGAATCAAGTAGCAATGAATGTTTTTTAATTGATAAAATGTTGTCGATATATCTAAATGTCGAATTGAAGGCCACAGCAGAAGTTTTTGAATAAACTCTGCATCATATGAATACCAAATAAAGGTCTGCTAATAACGGGGCGCAATTGGTTCCCATGCGATTTCTAATAGATTGTCGAAAGACTTGATCTTCAAAAACCAAATGATTATTGTTCATCAGAAACATAAGCATCTTTTTATAATCAGCTTCGAAGAATTTTTGTACAATCATCATGCTTTTAAACAAAATGATTTTGTTCTCTGATGATGCTTAAAATTTACGTATTTGTTTCTTCCTAAAAATACCGGTAGAAATGAAAGATTAGACAGTTACAATCAATATAGGATTAAAAAGCACAAAAAGGCACAATATAAAAATTTGAATATTAAACATACGGCTCAAGTAAAACTATTTATGGAGAATTTTAAGATTTAAAGGAACACAAAATCGTAATAATTCTTATATATATCCTATCAAGTAAATTGGGGTGCATGAATTATACGGATATGTTGTATCAATTTCAGGGTTATTTAGAATTTTTCTCACCTCCTTTGTTTTAAAATTTCAACAAAGATAGATTTCGTATGATACGAACGCTCTTTTTATCCATGAAGACCACTTACCATTCGTTCAAGGAATGTTTTATGATACAGATATTATTTCTTTCACATAGACTTTTCGCTACATTTTTCCTAGTATACATATATTTTATAGAGACTGCACTTGGAAAACCATTTCATACATGTACTTCATTATTTATTACTTACTGCGTAAAGACCAGCTTACTTTTACACCTAATTGAAAAAAAATGGCTGGCACATTTTCATTTGTCCATTTAAGATACTTTCCGATACAATCAAACATCGTAGGGACTAAAGCTATTCAAAATTGAAACAACTTTTGGATGTGGAAACGCGTCTAACACGAGAAAACAAACAAGATATACTAGAGAGTATTTACATATACAGTGTTAACAATGAAATACCAGAAATATGTGATAGGAGAGAGAAGGAAGGGTGGGAGAGAGATTCCTTCTTAATTCTCATACATATATCTGTATCAAACCGACAACCAATCAAAATTTAGAATTCAGAAAAAAGTACGCCACGATATTTTTTCTACGCACTTTAGAATTGTGTTGCTTCTTAAGGTCTAGTGCGCTATAAAATAAGGAGTAATCCAAATCTGCCGAACAAATCAATTCTTCACTTGAAGGAAACACGTTAACCCCTGAGATGGGAGCTTTATATTTCATATGCATAATATTTTCCATGCACATGACCGAAACATTCGGGCAATTATCTTTGCTTCAAAACAGAACCGTTGGTGAAAACGGTTTATTGCCTAGTACCGTATCAGGTAAAGCGTCCAATTTCTTACGGGACATTCTGAATCAAGAAAGTCTTGTACGTTTCTCTATGGTTCAAAGAATCCAGACTTTGGTTATGGATGCCATAGACAACAAAAACGATAGACAGGTTATAAAGACAAAGCTTGGGGATGTTATTAAAGAGTTACAGGATTTAGAGACAAAAGACCAGAGAATAGAAACAGAAAACGCTGAACTTAAACGAGAAATGAGGGCTTTGAATGTAACATTAAATAACACAAAATTCCTTTCAATGGAGGAAATTCGGAATCTTAACAAGTCAGAAATACACGCTCTAAGAACCCACTTTGCAAGTGATTTACAAGATTTGGTGAAAAAAGAAGAGCACATATCGGCAAAAATTATATCTCTGAATGAGACAGAAATAAGTAATCTTAAAAGGCAAACATTAGCTCTTCAGAAAGAGAACCTGAATCTTATTAAAGAAAGTAGAACAACTAAAAGTCAACTTGAAGCTATTGAAAGGAAATTAGACGCTTTAAATAGCTCTTATTCCGTGTCTGAAATAGAAATTCAAAAGAAGATTAAAGTTAATCTACAAAATGATAATATACTACGAGATGATCTCCAAAAGCTGAAGAAGGTTAATGATGATATTCGAAGTGAAAGTGTGGTTCTCAAGAACAATACTCTAGAAATGACTGAAAAAAGTTATTCATTAATGGATCAACTTAATGAGATGAACGAGACTTTACACAAAATCAGTGCAAGTAATGTTTTTGATCGGCTTGCATCAACAGAAAACATGTTTAGAATTTTCTCTGCCTCTGTTAATAAAAGTTTTGAAAATCTTCGTGAGGATTTAAATGAGTCAAGTCTACAATTGGAACATATTTCTAACCAGTTGACCAGTAAGTATAAGATGCATGTAACATAAAACAAATATTTAAAAGTTAAAAACTGAAAAACATAAAAGGTACAGTAAACACTAAAGGATTGTTGTGATGTCAGATCGTTCTTCTGTTCCAAAATACATGCAATATTTTATCCATATTATAATTGATTGATTTCCAAAGCACAAAAAAGAAAAAAATAAAATAAAATAAAACAAGTATTTACTGACAAAACGTCAGACTCAAGCTGTAGAAAGTCAACTAAGAAGTGTCATAAATATCTTAAAATGACACAAGATGTAGGCTATTGAATTTCATCTTCTGCTGAATAAAATACATGTACTAAGAAACAAAATGAATGTACATATATACACGTATGTTGTGGCTTTATCACAAAGTTGCATATGCCTGAAATAGTTTTAATTTTTTAAATCTTAAATTCATATATAGAACTGAAGATAAATATAATCCATCTTACTACTTTTAAGAATTAATGTATTCAATACGTCAATTATTTTCAGGAATATTTTATTATCGACCGCAGCAGCGGTTGATCCATTTCTGCTTGATTTAGAAAGCGCGCATGGGGAAAGGAAGTGTTATTTTTTATTGTTTTGATAGAATATTTCCTTATTGATAGCTTGTATTACAGTAAGGAGTATGTAATTATAAAAGAAGTTTGTATTATCTCCTAATTATTGTCGTTAAAGCATTTTAATTTATTGTCAATTTTAATCAATATCAAATTCATAATTTTACAAACAAATTCTTACAAGAAGCATGAGAATGTATTATGTATAAAAACAACTAGTCGATCACAAGTTTCCGAGAAATTACAGTATTCATAAAATTTGAGAAAATATAGCTTGTTATGTTCCCCAAACGAAGTTTGGGAACATATTGTTTTTACTCTGTTTCTTATTAAGGTCTTCCGTTTCAGTCGGAAGACCTTATAGTGATTGTACGGTTTATTAAGGTCTTCCGTTTTAGACGGAATACCTTATAGTGATTGTACTGTTTATTATTATTTTTTTCCCCCTTTTCGTGTCAAAATTGCTTGACAACAAGTAAAAGACTGAAGTCTAAAACTTTCAGGACTGATAGTCAATCATCAGTTCAAATGCATCGTGTAAAATCGTGTGTCGCCATTACTTTCGATCGTGACAGGAAATGATACAAAAAAGTTGTTTTCTTTCTACATTAGTTTTAGGATAATACCGAAGTTAGAAAGGAATTTCAATGCAAATTATTTCCGCTAGAAGTACCGGCCAAAAAACCGCTCAAAACACTGTGTTACATAGGCGACTCCCAACAGGAAGTGGTATAACGGAAGACCTTCTCATTACTAGTAATGAGTTTCTAGTTAAGGTCTTCGTTTCAGACGGAAGACCTTATAGTGATTCTACTGTTTCTTCTTTTTCTTTTTATTATTATTTTTTCCCCTTTTCTTTTCGGACGATTTCTCAGAGATGGCTGGACGGATTTTCTTGAAATTTTCAGGGATGATAGAGAATGAAAATATCTTCAAATGCTGTTCCATTTTTTTTTCAAAAATCACTCCCGGTCATCAGATATGTCCGACTTCCTTTTTTTCAAAAATATTTTGTCCCAGTCATATCTCATAAACGGTAAGAGATTAAGACACTTAAGTTATATGAGTAATAGATCTTAAGGAGTAGGCAAATCCATTTGGGTTAAGAGCGTCAGCCGTCACTTCCGGTCGTCACAGGAAGTGATCATAGAAATCGAAATTTTCAACTTTTCTTTTTTGAATTTTTTCTTGCATCACATTGTTGCATCTCATTTGTAGTTTCGAAATATGTTGGTCCCACCGGAAACAAAAACGACAACTTCCGGCTATAAGCGAAAAACTGCACAATTTGACTATTTTACTTTCCTATAAATATTTTTTAAAGATAATGTATTTGAACTTATTTTTGAATATGTTATCAAGACTGCAAATTTCTAGAGTAACGTCAAATATCTTTGAAAAATTCACTTCCGGTCGCGCGTTTAGATGTCTGCAAAATGAGAAATTGTCGGAGTGAGATCTCAGAAACGGTAAGAGATTTAGACACCAAACTTTTATGAGTAATAGACCTTGAGAAGTAGACAAAACCATTTCGGTTAAGAGCGTCAGTCGTCACTTCCGGTCACAGGTCACAGGAAGTGATCAAAGAAATTGAAAATTTCAACTTTTCTTTTTTTGGAATAAGACTTGCATCATATAATTGTATCTTTTTCACAGTTTCGATATGTGTTAGTCCCACCAGAAACAAAAACACAACTTCCGGTTATAAGAGAAAAACTACATGATAGGGTTTTTGAATTTTCCCATACATATCGCTTATAGATAGAGTTCTTTTAATGATTTTTATATATGTTATTGAGACTGCAGTTGTTTAGATTGACGTCAAACATCTTAGTAAAATTCACTTCCAGTTGCGTATTTTCCTGCCCTGAAATTGAGATTTTATTCACCTAATTGCTCAGCACCAGTAAACGACTGAAGTCTAAAACTTTCAGGACTGATAGTCAGTCATCAGTTTTTCTACATCATGTGAAAATCGTACGTTGCCGTCAGTTTCCGTCGTGACCGGAAGCGATGCAAAAAAGAGGTGAATTTTCCAAGTTTTTTTTTTCTTTTTACAGAAATGTTTAGCTAATGCATATGTAAGAGAGACTAAAACCATGCAAATTATTTTCACTGGAAGTGCCGGCCGAAAAACCGGAAGTTGTTTCAAACATGAGTAGTTTTTCATGGAAACTTTTAGGGATGATCAGTTGTGAATAATTTAGGTGTAGAATGAACATTTTATATGTTTGGAGTAATTTCAGTCTTGATGAAGTAAAAAAAAACATAGAAAGTAAATTTATTTCCGGGATTTTCTCAATGACCTTGACCTTTGATCTTGACCTTTGACCTTGACCTTGAACTTTGATGACCTTGACCTTTGACCAAAAGGTCAGAATCAATAATTAATTTACTCCTCTTTCCCCCAACCCCTTCCCCAAAAAAATCAGCAACAAAAAAATCAGATTAATATCAGCCTAGAATATTTCTTTAGAACTCATACAACACCTCGGATCAACATAAAATTTCGGGGTTTTGCAGAAGATACCTGAAAGAAAGTTTCCTGAAAATTTGACGGTGAATCTCTGAAGTATAAAGAAATTATGAATGTTAACAGCAAACACTACATCTTTTTTCGTATCTGAAATTTAGGTGCCGATGAACATAAAAATTAAAGTTTTTCTCGGTTATTTCTTCAGTTGTTATGAGTAGCAGTCGATTCTCTTGATATGATATGATATTTTAACACCAAGCATTCTTGCTTTTCTCTTGTATGTGGAATTTATTTCAATTTTATTTAGAATTAATATTAATCGAATGAATGTCGAAAACAGCGATTTTTTTCCTAGCAAATATTCACGCTATCATTGACACATTTTTCTTCCTAAAATGCATATCTGAAATTTTGATTCATGCTACTTACATTTAATTCAATCCACAGAGAGATGCTTATTTTAATCTTACCTATTATTTCAGGATATTCAGTCACATCCGAACCCGATCCGAAATTTTCATACATGTATATTCGTAAACAAAGTCTCGACACTGCAGTTCTAATGCATGCATCATAGGCTCTGAATGATTAACTCAATGTATTCCAAATATAGACAAACTCAAATAATTTTTAAACCGAAAATCTGCATTTGCATTATACACCAATCGTGTTTCTCAATCTATTCAATACTGATTACTACATTCCATAACAAACAAAAGAACACGTGCTTTTATTCCTATTTATTTCTGAACAATTAATTTACTACCTCCATCTTCATCGGAATGCGTGGTCTAGTGGTTAGCGCACTGGTCATAAAATCCAAAGATTTTGAGTTCGATCCCTGTTGGGAGAACTTTTTTTTTTTTTTGCATTTTCTCCTTTTTTTTCAAACCAATTCACAAAAGAATCAAGGAAACGGAAGACCTGTTATTGCCTAGGCAATAAGTATCTAGTTATTATTATTTTTTCCCCCTTTTCGTGTCCCCCTCGATTTCTCAGAGATGGCTGGACGGATTTTCTTGAAATTTTCAGGGATGATAGACAATGAAAATACCCCCAGGGTTTTTTTTTTTTCAATTTTCTAAAATTCACTTACGATCGTCAGGTGTGTCCGATTTCCCTTTATTTTCAAAAATATTTTGTCCCAGTCATATCTCAGAAACGGTTAGAGATTAAGACACCAAACTTATATGAGTAATAGATCTTGAGGAGTAGGCAAAACCATTTGGGTTAAGAGCGTCAACCGTCACTTCCGGTCGTCACAGGAAGTGATCATAGAAATCGAAATTTTCAACTTTTCTTTTTTGAATCTTTTTTTACATCACATTATTGCATCTCATTTGTAGTTTCGAAATATGTTGGTCCCACCAGAGACAAAAACGTCAACTTCCGGTTATGAGAGAAAAACTACATAATTCGAGTTTTATACTTCCCCATAAATATCGCTTATAGATTAAGTATTTGAAATGATTTTTATATATGTTATCAAGACTGCAAATGTCTAAAGTAACGTCAAATATCTTGGTAAAATTCACTTCCGGTCGCGTGTTTTACTGTCCGTAAAATGAGAATTGTCTGAGCCAGATCTCAGAAACGGTAATTATATAAGAGATTAAGACACCAAACTTTTATGAGTAATAGATCTTGTCGAGTAAGCAAAACCATTTAGGAAGAGAACGTCAGCCGTCACTTCCGGTCGTCACAGGAAGTGATCAAAGAAATCAAAAATTTCAACTTTTCGTTTTTGAATCTTTTTTTTTTTGCATTACTTTATTGCATCTTATTTGTCGTTTCGAAATATGTCAGTCCCACCGGAAACAAAAACGACAACTTTCGGTTATAAGAGAAAAACCACATAATTTGAGTATTATACTTTCTCATAAATATATTTTATGGATAAGGAATTTAAAAGGATTTTTAGATATTTTATTCAGACTGCAAATGTCTAGAGTAATTTCAGATATCTTTGTAAAATT